TATTGTTCTTGTTTTAATATATATATATATATATATATATATATATATATATATATATATATACTGAAATGTAAATTTATAGGTGACTTCTTTTCGATTGATTTCTTCAAATGAGTAGAAGAAAAGGGAACACATGCAATTATCTTAAACAGGAAGGGGGTCTGATATTTAGTAAGTTTTGCTTAATCGAACATGGAGTTAGATGGGAAAAAATTGAATTCAGAAATATTTTGTTGCACCAACTTGCAGAATATTAGAAAACTGTTGGTCTTGAAAACCAGCATTCCAAAGCCTGACTTTCTACTTCGTCTCGAAAGCCAAACAGTAGTTCTTATGAAGATATAGTCAACACTCTCAGCCACAATGTATTTTTTAATGCTGATTTTGTAAATAATCTGATGCTTTCACTTGCAGATTGACGAAGACAATGTTCTTGGAATCAATGATAAAAAGACAAACTAATTTTCCGTCATTGTAAAAGAAATAAATTTCTAGAAAATTTACAGGACAAGAAAAATGTCTTTCTTTGGATAAGAAAAAATATAAAAATTATCGTCTAAGTTTTTTATTAATACTTTTCACCGCCTAAATGTTAAGCGGTGAAAAGTATTAATAAAAACGCTATCAGTCGAATCCTATACGAGATTTGGTTTAACGTTCTGTACGAGATTTGGTTTAACGTTCTGCACGAGATTTGGTTAACTGTTCTGAAATGTTTGTTTTAGTATCTACATTTTTATAGCATTAGCAACAGGGAGTTACAGTCAAGCCATTAACAACTGACAAACTATGAACCCCTCCCTCCGTCCCCGAAGAAGTCTTCTATGGTTAAATTCAAGGCCCCGGGAAAAGGTTGATGTTGACAGAGTTGGATAAGGATGTGTTAGAAAATTGATGAAATTCTTTCCGGATTGATATCTTCTGATGCAAAAATTCAAAATTATAAGATACTTAAGCGATGGGCGGGTTGTAGGAAGCCGCTCGCTGCTCTATTGCAGTGGTCAGACGAACTACATTCCCTGGTTTCGCCAGTTCAAGCCTTCAAGGAAAAGGACATACCATTCCACTTATATAGTACCAAACCACCCACATCCCCCCCATATTCATTGGTTAGAACTAAGTTCCACTCAAACAGCTTCTTCCCGCGAACTACTTCTTTATGGAACCGACTCACAAGAGGATGTTTCCTCAATCACTACTACTGTTCAAATCTAGGTTAGCCGTTGTCGTCCGTACAAATTGCCTCTTCAAGTAACCCTCTAACTTGAGTGGACAACGTGCCTTTTACAGAGTGAACCTTATTTTACAGAAAAGAAAAAGTTCATCCTTTCTTCTGTAGTATAAATTCTATGTTACTTTTTTTTTCTTTTTTTTTTTACTAGGTGGGAGGTTCAAAGGGACTTAATGAAAATTGGACTGGCTACATTAGCCAATAGAGGTAGAGAGATTAACCCTGCAAACCAATCGTTTAATTTCGTAAATTTTATTTAGTAATATGCTAAGTATCGTCAGGATCATGGCTGCAGCAACTGAATACCTAGTGAAAATCAAAGCCGGAATTTACTCAGCGTAGCTTAGGAAATATTTCTAGCGCCATTTTGCCCATGGGAGGAGGAACAGAAAAGAGTGTACCATCTTAATATTCCAGGTGAAGAAAGTTCGTTTTCCCAGAAAATAAAAAGCATGAACACCAACGTTTGACACCGGAAAACATTTGTCCATGAGGTATGGATAAAAGATTTACAATACTATCAAATTGGTTTGCGATCCCAATCTGTTATACATCGGGTCAAAATTGACAACAAAGTAATTTACTAGATCTTCACTTAGTCGGGCATAAGGCCATAGTAATGGAGCATTACATCAATATCGTAACCATTACGCTAACAAACTGATTCGCGTGCTTACCATGCAAAAATCATCGCAGAACACTTAGCCTCTTATACGTAACAGTGGGTGTGTGGCTTTGGGGATTTTCTCCAAACGTGGATTCTACATTTTCGCCAGGATGTGAGCGACCCACCTCCTTTCCCTCTCAGGTAGGTGTTTATATATCTAGCTGTCGTACGGTTTTTCCTACGTATGCATATGTTAGGTGCAGCTGAGTCGACCGCGGGAGCAGCCACTTACATCGATTGAAATGCGAATCTGTATTTTAGTAGCTAGAAGGTTAACTTTCCGGTCAACCCACACATGTATCTAGCTTCTCTGTACGACATTGAGTGTTAAGTATATTTTAGCGTCATCAGAGTTGAGTCGCCCTGTAAAAATCGAAATCACTTTACAAGCTGGTTGGTCTGCGAGGCGTTGTCGATGTTTCTCCACGACTGGAGCCCCGAAATAGCTACTGACAAATAAAAACAAATAAATAAGAAAAACTGTAAAAGAGAGAGAGTGTGTGTGTGTGTGTGTGTGTGTGTGTGTAAGAGAGAGAGAGAGAGAGAGAGAGAGAAACTGATGGACAGAAACAGAGATCTGTCTATATTTCTGAGATGAAGTATTATGTACGCTATTTACATTATTCGGACCATTGTCCTCATTTTTGTTGCCATATTTATCACAACCTTTCGGCTGTTGTACGTTCCGGTCTTCTTCAGGTGGTTGGAATGTTAAACTGAACCTTTTATTTCGCTCGCTGGGGTAGACTGTTCTAGTTCCACGTGCCATGTCTAAAGGATGTCGGTTATCAGTTATCTCCTGTTACAGGACCCAAAGAGTTATGAGTTCAATGCCTGGTTAAGGCAGTGGAGAACTTGGAGAGGTGAATTATTCCACTGCTGATGCTAAAGAAAATCTCGTATCAGTTGATTTATTCGTATAATATCCCTGTGTATATCTTTCTGCAACTAACTCTGGGAAAGGACACAAAATACGCATAGTCAGGTACTCTGGTTTAGTCTAAAAAAGCAAAGGTCGCATCAGAAGAATGAATTCATTGATATCCCCCAATATGGTCAGTGGATTGAGAGCAATCCACCAGGTTAATTGAATAAAGGGTTCGTTTCGTAATTCTCAGAAGATTATTGAACATGAGAGACACATGAAGATGGCTGGAGAGGTCAAAGGCTGAAAGATTAAGGCAATAACAATCAAAATGAGGATAATACTCCGAATAGATTAATGAATAATAATGATAGTTAATAATCTGAGAAAATGACTCAGAAAATCTTGCGTTGAATTCCAGAGTATTCATTTGCAAATGTATACAATAAATATTTCAGCTTCACTGGATAAACGGCACAAGTCTCTTAACATCTCCAAACAGAGAAACAATGTCATTCATTCAACACCAAATAAAAAAAAAGATTCTTAGGCATTTTAGCTTTCTTTTTTTCAGATTTGTTTTCAGTTTTCTTTGAAAATAATCTTTTCTTTTGTATTCCGTCATTTGAAAATTTTTTATCTCCAAATATTTTTTCAAGTATCAGTCTTTTTTATTATTTTTTTTAAAAAAAAAAGCGTTTATTTTATTTTTTTTAAATTTCGGTTGTTTTTTCTTTTCATTTCTTTTTCATTTTACTGTTTGTATTTTAAAATGTTTTGAGCTAATTTTATTTTTTAGTTAGTATCTTTTTTTTAAAAAAAAAAACGTTTTCGAGTGACGATTTTATATATATTTTTAAATAATTGTCTTTTTTTTATTAAAAAATTGTTTTTTTTTTTTACATTTTTCTGGAGCATTTCTGTTGTTTGTTATTTTTTAAAAAATATTTTCCTTTTTTTTTTCTCTTTATTCTGATTTTTTTAAGAGTTAAGCACTGTTCAAATAAAATACCTGTGACCTACATTTTGTCAAAGTTCAACCTTGGAAGATTTGTATTAAAAGCATACTTTTCATTTGTTTTTCACAAGCACTTTCAATACATACATACATACAAACACACAAACACACACATATATATATACATACATACATACATATATATATATATATATATATATATATATATCTGTGTGTGTCTGTGTGTATTTTCTATAATCATTTATTTTGGCCTTAGTTTCATTATTCTCCATTTTTCTTCAAATTGTTCCTTTTTCTTTCTTTTAGATGCTTTCCTTCGTGCTGTCTTTATTTTCCCGTTCTTTCTTTCTTACGTTCACGTCTTTTTTCGTTTTTTTGTCGTTTTTCCTCGTACTTATCTTTCTGTTGTCTTCCTCTTTCTTTCTTTCTTTCTTTCTTTCTTTCTTTCTATCCTCCCTCTTTCGTTACTTTCCTCTTTCACCATTTTTTTTTATTTTTTTACACGCTCACTTTCATTTCTTCTTTTTTTATCGCGTTGTTTTTTTTTTCTTTTTTTATCGTGACTCTTTCTTCCTTTACACGTTCCTCCCACTTCCACTTCTCTTCTCTCTTGTTCACCCTGCTTCCCTTTCTTTATTTCGTTAACTTTCTCTTTTTTTTCTCTCCCAATTTCCTTCTTTTACTCTTCCTTATGACCTTATTTCTTTCAACCCTACCTTTTTTCTTTTCTTTTTTTTTTATATTTCTTCCGCTTTCTTTCTTCTGTTTATTACATACTGCTTTTCTTTCTTTTTATTTCACACTTGTTTATTTATTTCTTTATATTTAATATTTATTTTCTTTTTTCTATTCTGTACATCTTTCTATTTCCCGCTTGTTTCATTTTTTCTCTTTCTTTCTTTCTGTCTTTCCTTCTTCCTTCCTTCCTTTCTTTCTTTCTTTCTTTCTTTCTTTCTTTCTTTCTTTCTGTTTCACACGTTTCATCTTTCTATTTTACGCTTGTTTCATTCTTTTTTCTTTCTTTCTTTTTCACACTTGTTTCTTTCTTTTTTCTTTTTCTTCCACACTTTTTCTTTTCTTTTTATTTCTTACCTTTTCCTTCTTTCTTTTCCCCACTTTCCTTTCTTTCATTTTCGTTCTTTTTCATACATTTTCTTCCCTATTTTTAAACCATTTTTTCTTCCCTACCCACTCCGAAACCACCTTTGTCTTTTTTTGTTTGTTAGTTTTTTTATATATATATATATTTCTCTGTTTTTCACATCGCTAAATTATTCACTAAAGAACAGTGTCGTATAGGTTTCTCAAGGGAACCTTCACATTTCTGCTGCCAAAGATGCAACTCGTAGTTATTTGAGCCCAGAGTCCCGCTGCTGCTGAGGACGGACTCGTGGGGGGAGTCTCGTCTCCAACGACCGCCTCCTGGACAGCTGCCAACACTGCCTTGCGTTAAGTCTACCTTAACCCGGCCGAACTCTCGTCGGTGTGTTGGCGCCGAGGTCGTGGTATTAATGGCAAGTTGTTGAGGGGGCACCCTCTGGCCTTTCGGTGAAGGGGAAGGAGAGAAAGAAAACGAGGAAGCAGTATTTAAATTGTTGGTTGTGGAGGTGTTAGTGGTCGTCGTAGTAGTGACAGAACAAGGGGTGTGTGGGGGTGGCGTAGGTTCTGGTGGCGGCGGTGGTGGAGGCACGGGCAAGATAACGGCGGCGGCAGTGGTTGTGGTGGTCGTCGCAGTGGAGGCAGCATCGGCAGCGGTAGAAGAAACACGCCGTCGCGAGTTGGGGTGGGGCAAGATGGTCTGGCTACTTAGCGTACACCACATTGGCAGGTTGGGCCCCAGACTAGCCGGCGCGTCAATGGGAGGGTTCGAGTTATTACCTCTGTTTGATATGATGGCCGGGAGGCTCCGCTTATCTTCGGAAACGCTTTTAATTTGCACTGTCTGGTTCCGACATTTCCATTCTGTCCAAATCCGATACTGATACCTGAACGCAACCTGTAACGAGAAAAGAAAGAGATTGATTGATTTATTCATTGATTGATCGATTTGCTTCGTTTTATGACGTCAAAACTTGTTGCAATATTTAATATCGAAATCAGTCATTTTAAAACATATTTGAGTCTGTAAACATTTACTTGATTCAAGGATAAAATAAATATTCGTTTATTAATGGAATATTTAGGTTCTTTCTTGGTTCGAAAATGAGTAAATATTAGTACAAATTAGTACAATATTAGTATAAATCGATGTCCAAATCAACCTCAAATCTGTCGTTAATTGGGGCAAAACATGGCTTGTTAATTTTAACACCTCCAAAACTAAATTTCTCTCCATTAATCTTCACCCAGTACCCCACCTTTGTAGCCTTGTGGCAGATTAAACTAAGCTTAGAATTTATTTCATGACAAACTTATCTTGAGTATGAAGGCATATACCTTCTTTTTTTTTTCTTTTTTTTTTTTTTAAGCATTACGCCCCAAGCAAGGCGTGAAGCCACTAGGATGCAGGGGGTTGCGGAAGATTTGGAGCGAGAGCAGATAGGAGTGATAGGAGAAAGGATGAGGAGTGGGTAGATCAAGGTAACTGGAGATGTCGATTGACATTACATTTGAATAGTTGGAGATTATAGCTTTCAGGGAAACAGTAATTGGGGAGGGTGTTCCACTAGCGAGAGGTGCGAGGTATGAAGCTATTGGAGTAGAAGAGACGGCTACATTTGAAAGTTTCTACGGTGTAAGGGTGGGAGCGGGATGCCAGATGAGGTCCTACTTTCCTGGTTGAATGATTTTGAGAGATGTGTACAATGTTCGGTGAGACATGGGAAACACTGGGTAACTTAACAGATAAATAGATTAATCAAACTATTAAATTTCCCAAAACTTTTGGGTAACACCGTGTAGAAAAACAAATATCTATATATGTATACACATTATATATACACTTCTCTCCATTAATCATCTGAGAAATCTCTCTCTGCCTTCCATCTGTATGGCTGGTGATAAAACCTCAAGGAAAGTGACTTGTTGCACCTTTTTTGGGGCTAACGTTCTCAGTTGACATGAAGTGGAAAGCCTATATTGAATACATTGCTAGGTCAGCTGCTAAGAGATTTGGTTTACTGTGTGATGTGAGACAATTTTTCTCTCCAGAATCTACATCTCTATAAGTTTACCATTCACCCATGTTTAGAATATTGCTGCTGCATATGGTCTGGTGCCCCTTCTTGAGCTCTTTGTTAGAGATACAAAGAAGAATCTGCAATATTATCAGTTCTGATCTGGTTGCTCGGCTTCAGTCACTTTCCCACCGCTGTAAGGTTACCTCTCTGTCTCTGTAATTGTTCGGGTGAACTCTTCAATATGGTAACTAGACTTTTTGAATTTAAGTGCAGTGCTAGACTGGCATTAAGATCTCATCGATTTACAGCTGAGCTGGCTAGATGTAGCCATAAAATCTATGTTAACAGTTTCTTTTCTCGCAGTTCTCATTTCTGGAACTCGTTTCCGGTTTCACCTCTTCCAACCGACTTTAATCTGCAAATATTTAAATGCAACGTCAATTGATATCTACTGACCTCTTGATTATTCTTTTCTTTATCTGATCCTTATTAATGTTTCTTTTCCTAATTCCTCCACACCCTCTAAACACTTGCTTTAGTGGCTTTACTGCCTTACATGAGGTGATATCGATTCGTTAAATCAGGAACCCCCAAGGTCTGCCACTTTTTTTTTTTTTTTGAATCAGCCGATATTAGTTTGTTAGGAGAGCAGCGACACATGTTGTTTACAACTTTCCGCAGCAACCGTCTATATTTCTGAGATGCGGTATTGTAACTATTTACATTATTTACACTGTTCGGACTGTTGTCCTCATCTTTGTTGTCATACTCACAACGTTTTGGCTGTTGTACTCTCCGTCCTTATTGAAGTGATTGGAATGTCAATGGACGAAGTCAAATGTTTCGGTTCGATATTCCAATCATCTGAAGAAGGCCGGAGCGTACAACGACCGAAACATTGTGAATATGACAACAGTCCAAATAATACAAAAATGCAAATGGCATTTCTCATTTCTGATATATATATATATATATATATATATATATATATATATATATATATATATATATACATTCAATAAAAAACATATTTCGATTTGCATTATATTTTTCGTCTCGCATGCTACCTGAATTTTTACCAACAACAAAATAATTTCCGTGCATGAAGATGACTGAATGTACAGTCGAAAGTACTTGCGTATTTAAGAAGGACTTTATACAGCTTATAATTTAAAAAAAAACATCATCAAGTGATTAATAGGCGAATGCACATTTAAAAATTTTGTTAGCGAAGGAATTTCGCCTTTTATATCATTAACTTTACTAATTTACTTTTTGTATGAATTATTCATTGTAATATACATACATACATATATATATATATATATATATATATATATATATATATATATATATGTATGTATGTATGTATGTGTGTGTGTGTGTGAAAATATATAGAAAATAGGAAGGAACTGGTTAGGTAAATCCAAAGTCCCTTAGTATTTTAGTTATTATTTTTAAAAAATAGTGCTCGATACAGAAGTAGAGCATAAATATAATTATTTATTTAAAAATATGATTCCAAACCGCGACATAAGAGGTCTCATGTTTCAAAACAAGAGCCGAAAACTTCAATATAATTATTTAAATTAAATTGAGTTAAAGTAAGCTCTGTTCCATCTTCGAAGATAACTAACTGATATTTGAATCTGTAATAGGTAAATATTGTTCGGTTATATTTGATTGTGTATTTGATGTTTCGGGAATAGGTAAATATTGGTTGGTTATATACGAATCAAGGAGGCACGGTGGAGTAATTGATAGAGGCTCGGATTGAGGAAATCCATTACTTTCACTTACATGCTAATACCATTGGGAAAGGTATGAATCCTCTCCCCCCCCAGCTATAGGTAAATAGTAGGACAGATTCTTGGATGGCAGCTGGTCTACCGCAGAAAGAAATGGCAACCTACTGCGGGAAAAAATCTGCCTCGTCAGTCAGGTATCGAAAGATACATGATCGCCTAAACATCTATCACGCATGGCACATAACTGACTGACTATATATGTATCTGGTTTGGTGTTATGTATATATTGGTCTGTGATATTTGAATATTTAAGCATTTACTTGGTTCTGTGTTAGTTAAATATTGGTTGGTTACATTTGAATGTGTAAGAACCTCCTTGGTTCGGTGATAGGTAAATATTAGTGTTTTATATTTGAATCTGCAATCATTTACTTTGTTCCGGGATAGCTAGAAATTAATAATTTAAATTTGGGTTTATAATCATTTATTTGTTTCGTTGATAATTATATTTTAATATTTATGATTTTTTTTTAAAAATCAGTTGATGATAGAAATATACATCGAAATATTAAGTAAATCAATTTTTTTCACTGCTATTTATTAATCATTACCTAGCAGGAAATTTAGGCGCTTTCCAATGTTTGAGAAATTTGAAAATCTAGGATCATTGTTTCCAAATTTTCTTTTTAAAAAACGATTTTCTCTCCTCACAAAACCACTTATTTTCAAACAAGAAATGATCTGGTGATGAAAAAATGGAATACACGCAAGAATCCAAAAGAAAGGAAACAATCTAAGGCAATATTCAGTGTCTCAATATAAGCTCTGGAGAAATATTCCTTTTCTGCGTTTGGTAAAATTTAATAGAAATTTATTTTTTACTGCTTGAACAAAAGCTACTCAAGACTTCAGCTTGTTTGAAAGATTCATTAAAACAGAACGATCTTTATCTGAGCAAGGAACATGCCCAATATTTGCTGTATGAAAACACCTAACTACATTTTCAGATGCACGACAATAAGATGGCTTAGGAATTTCTACACACAGCCTATTTTCAAGATCTGTTTTCTTTAGACTACCACTTCATCCTACAAGCCTTGTATTGTTAACGCTTCCAAAATGTTCAAGATATGGATAAATTCCTCGAATAATTGTCTGAATAAAAACCTCAACTGTTCTTTTGTTATGAATTCACTATTTATTTGAAAAGTAGCATTATGTCATAAAAACAATCTGGAATCATTTGGGTGGTTGAATAATGAATGTTTAAAATGATTATTTTTCGTCGAAAATGCTAGAAAGATTTCGATCAACATAATATTGTAATAACAACTGTGCTTTGTCGATGCCTAAATTTCGATTCTAAATCTTTTTGCTGCTAAGTGATGGTAGGTGAATATTTTCCCCAATTTTCTTTGGGAAATTCGTCATAAAAAAAAATTATGTTAATGCACACGCGGCGATATCTGCGAAAGGGCCAACCGACTTGACATCCACAACCAGTGAGATGTTGTTGTCGCCGACTTGTCACAAACCCCACGTGGAGCGTGAGACAAGGGAACGTTCGTAGACTATTTACTTCATGCCTGGGGGCTCCGACTTGACTATTGATTAAATAATTCCTCAAGGGTTGTTATTTATTCATATTTTTCTTAGTTTGCGTGTTAAACAATAACGTGCCAAAAGATATAGGTTATCAGTATGAAAAGATAATTTTAGGTTGTTCAACCATGTACCTTTTTTTCTTTTTTTTTAAGCGTTTTACCCTAAGCAAGGCGGGAAGCCACTAGGACGCAAGGGGTTATAGAAAATTTGGAGCAAGATCAGATCGGAGTGATAGAAGAAAGGATGAAGAGAAGGTTAGTGGATAGATCAAGGCAACTGGAGATGTCGATTGACATTACATTTGAATAGCTGGAGATTATAGCTCTCAGGGAAACTGGAATAGGGAAGGGAGTTCCACAGGCGAGAGGTGCGAGACATGAAGCTATTGGAGTAGAAGAGACGGCTACATTTAGGAGTTTCGACAGTGAAGGGTGAGAGCGGGGTGAGCCTCGCGGGGGATGTCAACCCTCGTCGGGCATGAAAATATTTGGAGTTTGAACTGAGATGAAGTCT